GCTGTCCCCTGATTTTATAAAATAAAAAAACTGCCGGCGACATAAATACATTGGTGCTTGGGGAGCGAGTTTGTGGGTTTTCGCGCTTGGTTTTTAATTTTTATAAAATCAGGGACAACCATTCCGCAAAAATGAACAACTTTAGATTACGTATTCAGAATGCAATTCTCTATCGAATGAGCGGGGTCTCGAGATCGTATTGCCGATGACACCAAGGACACTCATTCAAGCCTATCCCAGGTCCCCGCTGAGCTTCGCCAAACCTAACCCTACTTTACAGCTGGGCAGCCGAGCTAGTTCCTCTCCACCCCCATGGAGCACGTCGGAGGACTTTTCACGCATGATCTGCTCGTACCAGGAAGATGGTAAGCTTTTCCCCACGTACGTTATGAAATGGTTCCGCAGGAATTCGTCGCCTCGAACGCGTGCGTCGTATCCTGCTCGCCCTGGCCCTGTTCATCCAACCGCCATAACAGAACATCAAGCGCAACTATAAGGTCCGTCGTTTCGCGTCAAAAAAACAGCGGTTTTGCATTCTAGGAGACCAAGTGGTTGTGCGTGTCGTGTTGCTATGCGCTCTGATTTTGGCTCTCCTGGATTTCGGCGTATTTCGTGGTGCCTTACGAGTGGAAGGTCAGCAATTCCAGAAACTCGCCGATCATCGTACCTTTAGGAAAGCGTCATTGCGCTCGAGCTGATCGCGTGCGCGACCGTGCTGAAAGCGCGCTTCCTGTTCGGGCCCCAAATCTCCTTTTTGCGCTCTCCACCTACGAGCCAGTCGTCGTCGAGTACAAGGTCGACTACGATGCGCTGCTACGGGCCCCATTGGACCTTGCAGAAAATGAGTAAGTTAAGTTATGCTAGCGTAGACTTGAAAGAGTGCAAAACAAAACCGATTCTCTCTCTGTCTCCCTCTCCCTCTCTCTCTCTCGCTCTCTCTCTCTCTCTCTCTCTCACTAACCTCAAATTCCAGATGAAGAGCGAGCCTCCCCGATCAGAGCCGTCTCCCCGGCCTCATCTACCGGCTCTTGGGAGAAGACATCTGGCCATTAGGTTGCCTCCTCCATCGGCGGCAGCGGACCAACCGAGGACGACGCACCATTCGCTCAACCACCACCTGAAACACGCACCCCGCCCAGCTTGGCCATCTTAGCGACGATCAGGTAAGTGAAGGAAAAACTGCAAATTTCAAAGCCTACGCCTCAAATTTTAATTTAAAACCCGATTGCAGTCGCCCATATTCCACACCGTGATGCGAAAAAAGAAGGCCGTCCGTCGCACCCATTCCGAGCACGACAGCGGGCGTAATGTGGTAAGTAGCGTACTCTCAAACCTGAAAAAATTCGTTTGAGACTAGGCATGCCGACTAAATTCACAGGATGGATTTTAATCGCGTTTTGCTAGAAAATAACTAGATCTCGACTAGAAAAACCATTTAAGCAAAAGCTTCAAAAAATTTTCAAAAAATCGAGGTCTTGGTTAAAAAAGCCATTTTCGGTCGAAAAATTTATATTTCTGTATATTTAATGAAATTTGTAACGTTTTAGGTTTAAGGATAGAAAACGTACTAGGAATTCTTAGGTTTATCTTTAAAAAAATGGAACCAAAGAAAAAGTTGGTTCCGCCCGCGATTATGCGAAAAAACCTGAAAAGTGTTAACCGGCGACATTTGCTTAGAACATAAAAACCAATACCTAAATTAATTAAATAAAGAAAAGGATCTAAAAATTAAAAACCCACACTTGCAGATCCATCCCCGACCCGACGTGCCCGTGATCCGTGCCGTTCGATCGCCAGTCGACCGTGTCCGCTCTCCGATGGGCTCCCATTAACGGGACTCGCTCTAAAAAAAACGAGATATAACATATCAATAACTATGTAAACTAAAAATTTACCGCCCAAGCACCACCACCTCATCCATTGCTCATCCCCCCGTTCCCCCGTGCACTGTGATAGCTATTTTTCTTTCACGTCTATTTTGCAGCCCCGCCAAATTTATGTATATTCTACATATGGCCCTCCCCCAAACGAGATACACTGCCCGCCTAATTAAGCTACACAAGATACGGTTATCCCCCTCGCACTCGAAGCGCGCGCGCGCCCGGGCACGCACCCCGGCGGCGCTCGATCAGTTATTGCTGTCTGTACACAGTACTTTATGTGTGTTTTGTGAGAGAAAATATACATAAATTTTGCCACATCAACGCGTATGGTTATTTCAACAACATCACTAGGGACCACAGAATGATATGGCAACAAAAAAAACTCGAGACTATTCGATAAAAACAATGGTGCTTTCCTGTTAGCGGGGGAGCTTGGAAAAAATTTTTTTTAATCCCGCTGTAGGGGCGACTAATTAAATAAAAACGATTGTTTCAAATTCTTATTGCATATTTGAAGGCATATAAACGTTGATCAGCATTTTTCGCAGCTTTTTTTACTGATAAACTTTAAAAAGCCGCGAAAACTCTAACTCTTTGATCAAAAATCTAGGAAAAAGGACCAAAACTAGCGAAAAAATGCTTGCTTAGACTTGTAGTTGTTGGAAAATACAAAATAAAACTAACAATATTCGATATTTCATTACTAGGTGGACGTCCACTAAATATGAAAAAATTACTTTGCTCCCCCGCTAGCACGAAAACACACAAAAAACAACAATAAACAGCTTCTGAAGCGAAGCGGGGCAATATAAAATCATGGTAGAAATATCGGAAATTATTAGGTGGGGAAGTAGACAACAAAAAGCTCATGGTACATGAAGAAATTCGCCGAGATATTGGAAACACCCGAAACTAAACAAAGAAAATAGCTTTTTGGGGAATACCATAACCAAAAGATTTGCCGAGTTGTGTACTAGTAGAAAAAATCACCAAAAAATGGCCAACAACAAAAATTCACAGCCCAACGCGATTTGGGGGAGGGCGGAGGAAGGGCGAGGCGGGCGCAGGGCGTGGGTTTCGTTGCTGGTCCTGAAAGTAAGACGTAAAAATTGAAGTAATTTAATTTAACAATTAAAAATATCGGTTCTTTCGCATTACCGGGGGGAGGGGATTTTCTTCCAGTCTAGAAATTTCTAGAAACATAAAAGTAAAAAATTTACTTGTGTTTTAGACAATTTGAGTCGTTCAAGTGGCAAAACTATCTAAAAGCTTAAAAATTACAAAATTGAGAAATCGTCTGTTGCGATATACGTCTCCATTTTTCTCCTTCTTATGAAAATTTATAAAGATTCAAAAAGGTAAAAATCGCAATCAGGAAGAAAAACCACTTTGAATTCCTTTATTTCTATTTTTAAGAATGGATCCTGATAAAAATCCCTCCCCGAATTGTGAAAAAGCACCAAAATCTTTTATTTAACCACCAGCAACTTACCGCCACTAAACTAATAAAAATAAACTGTTCCTGGAACTCCTTCGTGCACTCGGCGCGCTCCTTGGCTAGCCATAGATTGGCGGCTTCTAAAAACTACTAATACTTCCTGTTCAGCAACCATACCCAGTTGTAGCGGGTCGGGTTGTTGTTTTGACGGCGCGTTCCCCGCTTCGTGAATCAGATGCGCCTCGAAGAAGTCGCTCAGCTATAAGAAAATTAAGCAGACGATGATAAAAAGCTCACCATTTTCATGTTGTAACCGCTGGGTTGCGTTTGGCTGCGGCAAAGGTCGAGAATCTGAAAGAGTGATTTTCATCTACATTCTTGAAATTCACTTTTCTAGACATTTTTTTCGAAAAAGTTAAAGCCAACTGTTTTTCGAAATATCGCGGCGTGAAACACATCAATTTTGCTTACCTCTTTCCACGTGCCGCCCTTCGCCAAATTAACCCGCCAGCGATAGAGAACCGGGCCAAGCTGCGCCACGCGTTCATCCCGTTGTCGTTGGCGCTGTGGAAAAGTATAGCAATATTACAAGATTACAAAAACATACCTCGGCTCTTCTTCGTTTCACCCGATTCGTCAAATAAACCCGCTTCTTCTCGTCCAACACACCATCCTGGTCGAAGGCTTTGTGGCCGACGAGACGGGCCCTCGCCCCGGGGAGATTCATCCTGAAAATAATCATCAGCTTGCCTGTTTTATAAAACCCACTGGATCCTCTGATTGGCCGACTGCAGTGGGATTTGTGGGATGGCGCGTAGGTCGACGTCTTCTTGGGAAAAGCCGGCAGATGGCGCATCGAGAGGTTCCGGAGGGGTGTCTTCACTGAAAGTGTACTTTCGTTTCACTGAAAGTGTATTCATTTCGGCTAAAGTTACTAGGGAATTTTCATCTCGCTGAATGTTTTCATTCTAATTTGCTTTTGGTCAAGTTGTCACCACTTTTTATCTAGAACATTTTAAAAACCGATGGTCCCTTCAATTCCATCCCGTTAATAGACTATTTCTAGGACATTCTAACAACTAAATAGCCTAATTATTATAGTATTCATCGACATCATTCGATAGAATGAACATTCACCAATGATAAAGCGTCAACTTACACAGAATACGTGTCAGTTTCGGCAAGGTCCGTGCGGATCCCACAATGCAGGCAGGAAAACGTCAGCTTGTGGCAGTGACCGGCCGGCGCCATCGCCAGCTCTACTCGAGTATCGTTCGACTTGCATCTCTAAAAAATGCGAATTTCAACGCTGAAATCTACATTTTAATAGGCTAAACAGAGCCGGGAGCAATAGTAAAAAAACCGCAACCCTACAATGCAATTCTTCAACGCGTAGATGACTTGTTCCCGATTTCCGGCGTTGATGCCGCGACACAAGTAGAAGGGCGTTGTGATGAATTCCGTGGAGATGGCCATCGCGCTTACCCTCAATCGAGCCTGAAATGGGAAATTCATAAATGGCTGGGCGGTTCTGAAGGAATTTGAAGTGTGGAGAAGCTGGAAAAATCGCCAAAATTCGGGAGTTTTGTAAGTTTAGAAGCTCAGGAAGGTTTCGGTTATTGAACATCTTTTTCACCGAAAAAGAAACAAATAAACCACAGTTTTTGAAGCGCCAATTTCCAAAGGTATACTCGGGATAGCGAGAGTGCGCGTAAACGCAGAGACTCTGGTGTCTAGACGGGTGCCCCAAAAGAGGGTGAAGGTGGCGGAACATGTCTGGAATCAAATGTGACCATAACGCGAGTATTTTGCTCACAGCCCATCGTAAAAAAGGTTTATTCATCAAACCACGAATCCACAGGACATAAGCAAATGTCACCTGGCTCACAACGATCGACAAACATTCTACAGGTAATTGAAAATTGACTAGCGGCAAACCGGGAAAAGCCTAAAATCGTGTGTGAGCTATGAGACGTCTCCGAAAATTCCGGCAAACGTGCGCTTCAGTTGGCCCATCGTGTCTTCGGCAAACGAATGGGATTCGCGGTCGACGGACATTGTCATTGGGTCGTTGCGATCGGAGTCACGA